ATGTTTATTAGCTTCTCTGAACTGTGCCAACTGATGAATGGGTCATAACTCAGAAACTGCTTGACAATATTTTCTTCAAGACAAGAAAGGGAAAAAAAGTGGGGATTTCTTTTGTGGGGAGGTAATTATTTTAGACATAGTATTCAGTACTTGTAAGTGTCCTGTCATGCCAAGTACTTGACTCACTTGTTTTTGTTTTTCCAGTCTTAGTGCTTGCATTATTAAACATTAAATTCCTTACTCCTGGCGGCATTACGTTACTATTTTTTGCCTCTCCTTTAACTGGAAGAGGGTAGTGTTAGTACCTTGAGACTCTTAGCCTGAGAAACAAGAACAAAATAAAGGGTTTTCTTAGATCATAATAGTGCTTAAGAGCTGATCTTGTGTAGATTGTAGATCAGTGCTGTTATGTGCTGAATTTTTTAGCCTTGGAGCAGGTACAATGCAAGGGAAGAACAGACAGATACTGGCAAACAGGAAAGGTTATAACATCCAGTCTCATACCCAATTTTATACCTGGTATCTGTCTAACACATTTCTGGGCTCTTCAGGTAAACCCGTAATGAGTATTTTAAAAATTTGGTTGTATTCATTCTCTCACAGAACTTGTGAGATCAAGGAATTGCCTTTGTGCTTATTTTACAGATTTGATAAGGCTGTGATACAAACCTGTATGCTGTGAAATTCCTGGTGCCAGAGTGAATCTAAAACTGTATTTGTATTAGCAGCTGCTGTGCTTTCAGTTGTGATGGCTTTGCTATTGCAGGTCTATGCTTCTTTTTCAGAAGTTTGCCTCTTGTTTATTATTTAGCCACATACACAGTCATGCTGGCATAGCAAGGAGATACTACTTTCAGATGCCTTACATTATGAAGGTTTGGCCTAAATACTGTGCTCAGGATAACAAAAGAAATGTGTGTCAGAACAAGAAATTAATCATAAGTCTTCAAGTTAGGCTGCATACTAAATCATACTTTAGGCTTAAACTTCAACTTGATAATTTTAAATTTGTTTGTTGAAATTTTTGTTCAGATCTGCTGCTTCAGTGAGGGTTGACTTCTTATTCCACTTACAACAGTGTCCTACTCCTTTCCCTTTGAAAAAGAGGCTAGATGGAGTAGTTTTGATTCCTTAATAGGGCACAACTAACATTGTAAACACCATAAGACACATTTTAGTCCCTAAATCTTTTCTGGGACACTGTTATGTGGGATGTTCTGGACTAGATAGTCTTGTGACATTAGTCTGTATAATTTCCATCCTTTTTTCCAAGCCCATATCTTTAACTGTTGCCTAAATTTTGCCTATTGTCCTGTCCTGTATGTTTGTAAACAATTTAGGGGATTTCTGTGTGGTATTTGTTTTGATAGAGCTAAGTGCATTTACAGAAATACAGTGTAAGCAAACCTGAAGAAATTTCTGTTTGATCCAACACTAATTGTCATTCTTGGCTGTTGTGCAGGCCAGCAGAAGTTCAATATTTTCTGCTCTGATTTTCATCCTGAATCATTTTAACTAGCAGTAAATATGCAACTGTTTGTCTCTGTCTTGGTTCTAAGCATATTTATGCTTATTAAAGTAATTTGAAATTGTTTCCAGAAGCAAACCACAGTTGTTGGTTTTAAACCAGAGGAATCACAAAGAGAACTTGATGTATTTGTCAACTCTATCTTGACAGAAATTATTCATGTTCAGGAGAAAAATAAGAAAGGTGATCTCAAACCTAAAACATTGGTATGAGTTGAGAATGTGTTGCTATGACAGAAAAAGTGTTTACTGTCAATTAGTATTTATTATAGCAGAGTTTGGAGAACATCACTTCCCAGAAAATGGTTTCCATCAAGGAAGATATTTTGGATAGCTGCAGTATTTGGACAGCAGAAGTGGTCTTGGCTTGTATCTCCCCTGTCAGATAAATAAATCTATGTTAATCAAAGGTTGATTATTTTTTAGCTGGCCTGTTAGAGAAGACATGAGAGATTTCTGTTGAGTAAATTAAGTGATGCCATCTATAGGATAAATGTCCAGTTTACAGATGGCTGCTTCATTATCAGATCATTATCTCCATCAATGTTGAGCAGTAAAACAGCAAAGAGATTATCAGTGGTCCTCCTGGGAGGCTTTCCCACCCCCATTCTCCTGTGCAATGGCATCTATCCCTGACACCCACTGAATGCTGATATCATAGCTCTGCACAGAGTGCCTTGAGAGCACCAGAGTGTCAGGTGTGCAGGTGGGGTGAGGCACCCGAGTAGGACAATTTCTTGCTTTAATTTCAAGTAACTTCTCCTTTGTGCTCTGAGAGTAAAACCTTATTGCATGTATAAACTCTGCCTATAGATGTCAAACTTTGAAAAAGTCAAGTGAAATTATAAATTGTATAGAATTCCAATACATAGTTTTAGATGGAACGAGTACCACTTATGCTGCCTTGGATGTTCTTTCCAAAAGATTTAAATTATAAAATAATTAGTATCCACTAGCAAGTAAAAACAGTGTAAAGTATAATTAGAAGTACAATTTATCTTGAACAGTTTATTGAATTGAGATTTCATAAAGGTTATTATGTCACAAATTCAATATACAGCATTTGTAGCTTTATGATATCAATTGTCTTTAATCTTTGGTACATTTTAACTGATACATAAATTGACTAACATTAAAGATTATTGGAAAAATCATTCTTAATCCTGAGATCCTAATGACTTCATTTTAAAACATTCAAAGTTGTATAATGTTGCTGTTTCAATTACTTTTTCTTTCTGTTTTGGGTCGCTGTGAGAATGACTAGAAAGTGATGGCAACTTTGTGTTACCATTAAGTGCAATGATTTCACCATATCCTCACAACATTTTGACTCAAGGAAATGCTTATTGAATCCAGAATACCATAAACTGATGGATTACTTGCTACATACATATTGTTTAGTGTGCATGTTATAAGTTGTAATTATGGGAATAGATTCTAGATCAATACATTTTCTTCTAATGAATTCACCTGTTTCTCTGGCAACAAAAATCCCAGCAGAAGTAAGACACTGAAGCAAATTCTTCAGCTGGAAACAAAATAGATTTCTTTTTTTTTTTGTTTAATTCAGTTATTAGTTCTACCACTGATTTTGTTTTTCACGTTAGTAAAACTTTGCACCTGCAAATCAGGAAATGTGGCTGTTACAGCATTGTGGAGAAAAACAGGAAGAAAAGTTTTGGAATGTTTATTTTTTTGACCATCTGAATTACAGTCACAGCACTGGTCTAAACCTTGCTAAGTAGCGTATTTTGCTAAGAGCAACTATTTAAATTATAGACCAGAATCTGTTGATTTATTATCATAATGTAATAGATGGATCAACATGTTACTATTTTTAATGCAGGCAATGGAGCAAAGAAATACTTTAATATTTTGAAAACCACATTCATCCAGAATGGGAAACAACTGTTTCACCAACTCTATTGGAAATGAGTAGCAAGATGGAAATATTATAAAATTAACAGTAGCAGAACACTTAATCTATGCTTTGTAATATTTTTGCAAGACTTCCAGTTAAAAAGCAGTACAATTCCTTCTAGTAGCTGCATTTCTTGAAGATGTAGAGAGAGAAAGCCTTGAAGCAAAAAATAGGAAGGCCATGGTGGTTACTCCCATTTTCTGCTCTTTCAACCACATATTTAGCTGAAACCAAAACTGCATATTTAACAGCGTTTAGAGGACAGAAAATAAAATATTATTGATATGGGATATAGCTACCACAGGAATATATATTTTTGAAAACTTCTTCTGAGTGAGTAGTGTTGCAAGAATTATTTTACTAAATCTTCTTTTCTGGTATAAATGTTACATTTCTCATCAATTTCCCTGATCATTTTGAAAAGGTAAATGACTACCTACCATTGATGGAAAAAATTACAGTATATTCACACTTCACATTACAGTACAGAGAGTGCCATTTTGACACTAAGTGGTATGAAGATTTTTAAATATAAATATCTATATAAACACGTATTCTTGTCCTTTCCATCCCCTAAATCTGCAGCAGCTTCAAATTTTTCTTCATCTTCCTTTCATGATCCAGATGAATTGCTCTGGTGCAATTCACCAGATCTGTGGGGATAATGTCTGCAGTAAGTCTGCATACAGAAAAGCCTAAAGCCTAAACTTCAGAAGCAGCTTCCTACTTAGGCTTACCTTCCTGCCTTTACTTTTTTGAAAATATAAATAAATACATAATTTTTAAACAGATTGTAGAGTGAACAAAAACAGATGCCTCACTTTGCTTGAATTGTCTGACTGAGTATTTCTGTCCACTGAGTTTGCATTGTGGAAAATTACTTTTTCAGGACTCAATTTCAATGTTTAAATACTTTTTATTTTATTTGGAACATTTTTTTCTTTTCATAAGGGAGAAATAATTTTAGTTATGCCAGATGTTGTTATTACTCTGTTCATCATTGTTTAACCAGAAACATAATTCTTACTACTGTATTAAACACAACTGGTGGGGTTTTTTATCTATAGATGAGAGCAAGAATATTTGCTGTCTTTGGGGTGTGTTAATATTTTGCATTGAAGGAGAAGAAGACAAAGATTATGGCTAAGTCTCTGAGGAAAGACAGAATGTGAAATGTTTCATATTTCTAGAGGGCTTTGGGAAATGCCATTAAATGGGGCCTTACTTTTAAATCACCCTTTGTTCTATTTCTAAAGTCCCATCTGTCACTCAGTGAACATCTTCAAAGGACAGGTGTAGTGGCATGCTGGCTGTAAGGCTGGAAGTGTAAGAAGTAGGCAAACTGCAGTGGGAGTTTGTTTACAATTACTGCTAAAGAATAATTAGGTACTTTTTGATTCTTGTCATTTGTCTTATTAGATAAACTGTACTTTAGAAACAAGCTATCCACTTATAAACTTTCCCAGCTATGTAACTTGGTAAAGCACAGCACTTTGTCAAAGCTGGTCCATTAAGCCTCTGACTGGTGCTCTTCTCTTGGGTTTGATTGCAGCACCACACAGAAGCCCCCAGCCCATCACTGCTACCCCCATCAGCCTTGCCCTTGGATGTATTAAACAACGCCGTTGCTGGATTTAGCACTGTGGAAGACCTTATCCGCTATCTTGAACCAGATCGGTGGCAACTGGATTTGGAAGATTTGTACAGGCCAACGTGGCAACTTCTTGGGAAAGCATACATTCATGGAAGGAAGTCAAGAGGTAATTTACTCTTCTGTCTGGCCTTGCAGCTTTCTACGGGTATGATTTCTTGACAAAGGATTTAGAATGTTCTTCACCTTGATTTTTGGTTCCAAGAAAGGAATACGAAGAGAGAGCAGATACCATGGTTGTTAGCTGTCTCACCATTGCAGTATTTGAAAAAGGACAATAGCTAAACTCCAAATGTAAAGGAATTTAGCAGGCTAGGTCAGCAAATGGGAATCAAAAAATCCCCAAAAAAACAACAAAACCAACAAAAAAACCAAAACAGCAGCAAACACAGTAGTTAGTTTCCTGTAGGGAACCTGGGAGATCTTTATTTCCCTAAGGCAGGGCATCTTGATGGGGTAGTATTTTAAATTCGTGGCTTTATTTTATTATGGAGGGCAAAAACTTTATTTTTATTTGAGGTAGGTAGGTAATGTCTTACTGTATCATGTGAATGATTGTTTATTTCCCTAGAATTTTTCCAGTCTCTACATGAAAAGAATTGAGAGCAATTACCCAAACGTTTCTCTTTGATGACAGCTTAGGAAATACCATGTGTACGTGGCTGGGTTATCATGCAGTTGTCAACCTCATCCGAAGTTAAGTAGATTGTGTTTTCAAAATTTGTAGATCTATTGAACAGCAACTCATTTTCTTCCTTCTCCATCTGACACTCATGAATTTCCTGCCACATCCCATCCAGATGCTACCCACTATTTCATGTTTATGGATAACACATGGATGGATAGTGTGAAGGCCATACCGCCTTCCTTGCCCACCATACAGCATGGAAAGGAAAACATATGAGCATAACTGAACAGACTTCCCTCTTGGTGAATGTAAACTAAAAGGTTATCATCTGATCAGCAAGAAAAGGGAGGAAGTAGAGCCTTTCATTGCTCAAATTTAAGGGTTTGACAGTTAATTCTTAGATCAGAGCCCAGAAATCAACCTTTGTACCCTATCACATTGCTGTAGCTGTGCATAGAGAAGCTAAATTATAAGCCAAAGAGGAGGAAATGTCTTTAAAAGCTCTCAAATAGTCATTTAACACTTCCTTAATTAAAGAGATTTAGTATTTGCCAAATGCATGCCGTAAGCACACTGTAAGTGGGAGAAAAACAAAATGCAGGTGTTGGATAACATCAACATAGACAAAAGAAATTCCCTGCAAGACTCATCTTAGAAAGAAACTATCAGAGTAAATCTTTCAAAGACTTCTAATTAGATGCTGAAATAGATTTTTTTCACTGAATAAACATATCATGGTATTGCTACATTTGACTTAGAGACCACCCTCAGACTGTATTACTGAGTCTGTAATATAATAGCCTGAGGTGGAAAATATGTCCAGTTGAAATGACATACAACTATTCAATAGAAAGGAAAAGCAAAACCGTTTTCATCCTTTTTCTTTTTTTTTCCCCATGTTACTCTCTCAAGCAGCATGTTTGCTGTCTTTTGAAACCTTTTTAAGAAATGTTTGTCAGAAATGCCTATCCTAATTTTTGGTTTTGTTCAAACTTTTTCATTCATGATTAGATCAGTTTCATTTTTGCAGTGTTTCAGTGTAGAAGCTAAATTACTGTCCTGTTTTCATAAACAAGTTACTAAAACTGTATCTCACTTTATGTAGAGAAATGTCCTCTACTCCTACGTAATAATTTGTATAAAAAGACTATATTTAGACAACCTAAATTCCAGAGAACTTCTGTCTCTGATGTTTTCTCTGGATGAAATGTTTCCAAAAACTTCTAGTCAGGAAAGGAGAAACAACCAAGTTCAGAAGCTTTGATGTCTAAATATAGTCCTAAATTCCTTTATACTATTAAACATGCTTAAAAATAAAATATATTTTGCTGTGCAAAGAAAATTATCCCATCCCTTCCCACTGAAATCTATGTTATAATCATTAGATCATATTCTGAAATCTCCTTAAGGAGGAAAAAAATATATTCTAAATGATAGAAAAAAATATCAAAGCATAGTCCTTAGCGGTTGTGGTTTTTGTACAGTTATGTGACTTTTTTTTTTTATACCCCACTTCTTGCCTGAGACTTTGTTACAGCTCCTATTGCAGAAGCCAGTAAGAAACTTACATTCCCAGGAACATCTCCAAAGTGCTTAGGAATGAAAACCGTTCTGCTGCTATCTGTGCTCACACACAAGTGCCCCAACCAGAATTTAATTTGTTTCATTGACTTTGAGAGCGGTATCCAGCTGGAAAAATGTTCTGGGAAGGAAGTTTCCCTGTGGTATTCTATACACATCCAGAAGATGCCAGAAAATTGCATTGCCCGTTGCATAACACAATTAATTTCAGGCTGCTGTGAACATGGATTAGTTCAGTTGCGTGTGCCAGTGTCTTGAAATACACTTTACTGTAGGCCTACCTGCGTCTACATTTTTTCTCCTTCACTTATTTTTATTTTAGTGTTTCCCATTTATGTGCTACTGCAGAGCCTTTCAGTCCTCTGGAGCTAGTGCTAGACAAAAGAACCTTGACTGTTGTGTCAAACATGATACATGAGTGGAAGCCAAGTTGAAGGAGTGTTTAAATGTTCACATTATAACAGGTACTGTAACTCAGTGCACTTGGGAAATCCACATAACCTTTTATTGTGGTTAAGTAAACACTTTTAAGGGAATATATACATTCTCTCATCTAGCTTCATGCCCACAGTGTGTTAAAATAAATTTTGAACAGACAGCTACTCTTTGAAAAAATAACAGCTTCATTCACACACTTCAAAGAAGTGATTATATAAGCACTAGATAAATTTGCCACAGACCTTTTAATGAAATTGAATTACATAAGGTAGGGCAAGGGTTCATTGTGATGTATCATAGCAATATACCTAAGTACATTTTAAAGCATGGAAATCAAACATGACATTTGTTCATCTCTCCTGAAGCCTGCTGTAAAAGTATAGCACACTGAAAGGTATCTCCTAAGAGCTGACTGTGTGTTCTCCAACAGAACCCTTTTAAAATTAATGTCTGCAGGTCTCGGGGATTGAGATCAAATTAATTCCTTTTTTGTGACAAAATGTGTAACATGCTGTTTATTTTAGTGCACTGTTCTTTTCTCTATAACTACACCTAGCTGTAGGTATGGAAATTGATGCATTCTTCTGCTGCTGCCTGAAGGCAGGAGGCAATGGAGAAGGACATCACCACACAAGGATCTCTCCCACTGTTCCGTGGGCCTGCTGGAAGAGGTGTCAGTGCCCAGTTTCCACCTTCAATATCTCATGCTGAAGGGCTGAGCAGCACATAAGCTTAGCTCCTTCGAATTTGCTGGAACAAGTATATCAGTCTCTGCAGAAACAATCTTCCAGCAGAAAGTATTAGCAGAACTAGCACTTCTCACAGTGTGCTTCAGGCATTTTATCCTCATTCAGACAGCTCACTTATTATATGTTTGAAAACGTAACAGGAGGAAGAAGTACTCCATTCCTGTCCACAGTCCTTGATTAATGGAGGTAGACACATCCACCTTTTAAGTGACTCAGCCTAGAGCTATTAGCTGATCAGAAGAGCTTAAATAATTTCTGATTTCTCACAGTGAATCTCTCCCCTGGAAGTTTTGTCTCTCTTTTCCTCTGCTCCCTTCTCAACTTTCTCCAAGGAATGCTCTTGCAATGTGGGAGGCAGGCTGGTGTCCTATCAGTAACTTTATTGGAGTTATTACACACTCCTCCCTCTTAAAATTCAGTTTGTTTATTTAGGAGCCTGTGTTAAGCCGATAGTGATGGAATGAAGTGCCCCAGCTTGGCATTCGCTGTGAGTGCAAGCAAAGAAAAGGCTTCAGTGTGTTTAACTGACCTTTCACAACAATAAATCCTTACTTATGGATGCCAGTATACAGATATGGCCTGCAAAAGAAATGTTTGAAGGAACATGGACTGAAATTCCTTCCCAAAGATCTGCTCCTGGGAGAGTACAAGTGAGCATTTCCGCTAAAGAAATAGGCTTCTAAATTTTTTTATGTCTTATGTGTTTAAATAGAATTAAGGGGCATTATCTTGCCTTAATAGGCTGAAGTTCTCCTGGATGACCTTTCCAGGCTTTTTACATAGTAGAGAGGAAAAAAAAGGTATTTCTCTAGAGGGTGATTCAGATCATAAACTTATTTTACCTATATTGTATATCTTTTTATTTATGAATGGGTAACAATAAAGTATTTTTTAAGCAATATAAGTGCACTGGGATTTTTTTCCCCCATTTTTTTTTCCTGATTTAGCTTAAAATCAATTGGTTAAAAGTTTTTTCCACTTTATTCAGGGCCTCTGTTTCACTCATCCCAACAGCCACATTATCACAGGGTTTTCTTTTTCTCTTTATCTTTTTGTTTCTTACTACAAAGAGTAGTAGCCCTGTGAATTAGACATCACATCTGTTCCTTAATGGTAGGTGTGGAGAAAAAGAGTTCAGACAAAAGATCCTAGATCATGATCATTATAGTCTGACTTTTCTGGAGTAAATGTAATTTATGTTGCTTCTCACTCTTTTTTCCCAGTCTTAATAATTTTTTTTTCCCACTTTTAACTGCTTCTTTCAAAGCTTATTAGCTCTTGACTGTGCAGCTAAGATGAACATGAAGGAGTTTTTCCTCTTTCAGATATCTTCATGAACTTGCTGTTCAACCATTAGCATAGTGAAAGTATAGTACAATACAGTGGAACCAGTTTATAGGGAAACTGGCACCAAATATTAATATCTTCAACTTGCACTTCGAGTTAGTTGCTTACAAGGAGGAGCTTTTATTTAAGACACATCAGGAGAAAAGGAAACCTAGAGAAACAACAGAAATTCATATATATGCTGCTATGAAGAAGGAGGAGAAAATAGTTATATAGATATACAGTCTTGTGCACTTATTTATTCTGTGCAGAATTCCCTGATGATTACAACTTCTTGAAGTTCTTAGTCCATAAAAATGACCTCTGTTTAGATATGAATAGTTGCAATCTTTTTTATAATTGCAATGCCCTAGCAAAGAAGCAATAGTTGAAATTTTAACAAGGAAGAAGTTTGAACGCTTTATTGCAAGCGAATTAAAAATGTCTTTGAAATTTTGTAGGAGTCTTAATTGCTCTGTGCATGTTTCTCCAATCCAAAATGACTGCAGAATAGCAACACTGGAGGTCAGAGTATTACTGTGGACAAAGTGACTTGTATCAGGGTTGATTTGATAAAACATGTGCAGGAACAGAGTAGCCAAATCTTGCTTTAATTGGAATCAGCTTTGCCAGAGTTACGAAATAGTTGGTGAATATCACTATGCAGGGATCACTCCATTTAAGTTTCATGGTATTCATGGAACAGCAGTATTATACTTTTGTGCTGCTCCTGCACAAAAGTGAACCTCCCCCATGGGTTCTGCACGGCTGAAGTTGATTTGCCACAAATGAACTCGGATTGCAAATCAGGAAGGCGCCGTTCTCTCCGTCTCTTTGCAGTGGTGGACCTGAACCTCCTGAAGGAGGAGGCACGGCTCTACAGTTGCACCCCGCGCAACTTCTCGGTGTCGCTGAGGGAGGAGCTGAAAAGGACGGACACCATCTTCTGGCCACTGTGTCTGCTGGTGAAACGTTGTGGTGGAAACTGTGCCTGTTGTCAGCAGAGCTGCAATGAGTGCCAATGTGTGCCAACAAAAGTCACCAAAAAATACCACGAGGTATGCACTGGCTTTACATTTGCTTGTTTGGAAATACTGAAAGCCAATTAAGGTGTTTATTTTATAATAAAATGAGTGCACCAATATTCATATTTTATGTATTGCACTTTTATTTAGCATTTTAATTATATATTGTATTTTAAAAAGTTCCTTATTAATATACTTTCCCGTGCAACTATTAATTAGTTTCTGAGATACTGAGTGGTGCAGTTCAGACACATCACATTCATACCTTTTGTTCTTCTTTCTTTTGTGGTAGATATCAACTTTATGAAGAAAGAAATGCTTGTTCATTTCCATTGCTATAAATTGATAGCTAAAATTATTTATTATAGAATTATCTAATTGGGTTAACTCTACTGTTTGCTCTTAAATAAAATTTTGTGGAAATCTGAAACTGCAAGACTCTTCTTTGGTAAAACAACATGATTTAATCATGTTCAACATGATTTAATCAATTTTGTAAATGGCTTGAGGTAAAAGCAAAAATAGTAACGAGTGGGTGGAATTAATGAAGAAATTCAGTTTTAATATGCTTCCTGTAATGCAGTGGGTTTCCAGTGCAATTTACCTCGTAGTGTAGGTACATGATGAAACACTTGCTGGTTTCTTGATGCTTGGCTCTTTCTCCTTCAGGTTCTTCAGCTGAAGCCAAGGATTGGTGTCCGAGGATTGCATAAATCATTGACAGATGTACCCTTGGAACACCACGAGGAGTGTGACTGTGTGTGCAAAGGGAATACTGAAGGATAAACATGATTTATTTGTGCTGTTTTCTTTCAAAGCACATTCAATCAATGGCTGATTCTATTATGGGGCTTGTGCATTATCTCCTTCTGTAATCTCAGTTGTTTGCTTTGGGGATCTTCCATCTTGAAGATTTACAGTGAGCTCTAAAAAGAGGAGAAGCCAAACTGGGATTATATGTTGTGTGACAGCTCTGTTTGGAGGCCCAGTGAAAGGATGGGAGAAAGGCATCAATGAGGGATTTAAAATATATGTATTGTTGTTGTTCCCCACAATTTTCTTGGCAATACATGGATTTATAATTTAGGAGTAAATAATAGATTTAGAAGGCTGACATCATGGAGACTTGATCCTGCTGGCTGTCTCATTTCTACAGCTCAAGTACATCTGGCCTCTGGTTGAAAACACCTGAAATCTTTCTGTGTTCAACTACTCCTACGTACTCTAAATCAAAGCGTTCTCTGTTGTATAAACTTGGGTTAAAACAGACTGTCTTTTTCTGAATTAAATTTAATTTGTCTAATGCTGGTAGGAAGGACTGGATTTTCCCATATGCTCTAGTAAAGCTCCTGCCTTTTAGAAGGAAGACTGGACAATAAAGTGAGCTAAAGAAGCAAATATTGAAAAGAACAGCGCCTTTATTCTTACTACTATGGCTGATGATTTTTTTTGTGTGTTTGTTATTTTTTATCGTGTACATTTTTATACTCTCCTTTTGACGATATAACTATTTGCTTTTCTAAACTTGTTAAATATATCTATTTTTACCAAAGGTATTTAATATTCTTTTTTTTTTTTTTATTACAACCTAGATCAACTATTTTTTAGTTTTGTGAGACTTTAAAGCCAGGTACAGTTGGAGGAACAGAGGTTACAGTGGGAAAGAAGTGTGATCTCTTTGCAGTTTGTTTCTACAAAGTGAAAAGTACAGTTTTTTAACTGGATGCACAGTAATAGTAGACAGAGATGTGTGGATGAAACTCTAAGCTTGCTAGCTCCATGAGACTAAAAATATGAGAGACAGAGGTTACTATAATCAGTTTCAGAAGCTGACTTTAAAAATTCCCTCTCTCCATACTGGCCTTTGTTCAGGTAGAAAAGAAATGAGCATAGATAGATAGATGCATTCTGGCTTGTTAAACTCTTTAATTTCTTTAAAGGAGAATGACCTACAGTGTAAGAAAATAAACTAGTGGCTTACAGCCATCATGATGCATCATGGTCATGGGAAGGCAGCCTTGTCAATGGTGAAGTGTATGGTTTTCCACAGACAGAAATAGCTGTTTAAGTACTGTTCACTCACAGGAACATAACACTCTGAAGTGCAGTTTGATGAACTCTATGGTATTGTTCTTCTGTATGTTATATTCTTTAACCAATACACTTATCCCACCCTATGCAAATTGAAACGGAAACAGTAAAGTATTTTGCTTGTAAAATGCTTTAACATTATGCCTAGTTTATTTTTTTTTGACTATTGGTTTTTCAGATTGTAATGAATCACAAAATAAAGTAATAATGCTAATTTTTGGAGAATAAATGTTTCAGTGTGGTTGCATATTTGTACTTGTCAATATACAACTTAATGGGAAAAGTTAGGATGGTGATTTTCTCCCTACCATTTTGAAAGTCAGCTCTGAAAACAAAAGTCTTCTGTTGCCAAGACTTCCACTTGCTTTATTAATTCTGCATTACTGTAAATCCGTAAGAAAAAAAAAGGAATTAATGTGATGCTATTTGTATAAATATTCAAAATGTTCAAAATAGTGTGGATATGAAGCCATCAGACTGAAATAACATCATATGTTATTGTTTCCATAGTGAAAACGGATTCTGATGAAAATTTGGGGTTTTTGCAAGTTGGTATGACTCTCTGATACCAGTTCTGGAAAACACTCAGGTGGCTTCTTATTTTGTCCCCACCCTCAAACTCCTACTCAGTAAGAAAAAAATCTGGTGTAAATGTGACATATAATTGTCCAGTCTGAATATTTATTAACCATGTATCAGAATACAGAATTATGATCACACAAGAGACCTGGTTTACTTGAGTTTTGACCAGAAGTGTTTTGAAGGGATGTCGGGGATGTTTTGCATTAATGTTATCCCTTTTTTTTTTAATTTTAAGGGGTTTTGAACAGCAAGTCAAGCTAAACAGAGAAATCATGACCTCTGGCATCATAGTTCAGCAGAAGAATGAAAAAAAAACTACAATTACATTACAGAATATTCTGCTGTAGGAAAAGCAGGAGGTCTCAAACTCTCTGTAGACTTGCTAGGAGAAGAAGGCTGGTCATGAATTTTGGAGTAGGTATTTGGTGGCAGCAGAGGAATGGGGAGTTTCTGGAACCATGTGTGATATGGAAAGTAATGTTTCCCAGATATCACAAGTAGATTTTTTTCTATTGCTCCCCTCTGGCTCACTTTCTTCCTTGCCAATTTCTTGAACCAGTTGCCTTCCCAACTGCTTGCTATGGACCTGCATCTGAGCTCCTTACCCCTTTGCTCCTTGTGTCCCCTTCACAGGGCTGTCTCTCATCTGTCCCAAAATCAGCTTCTGTTTGCCACCCTCTTGCCGAGCATCATTGAGCTCTGTGCCTCCCCCTCAGCTCCATGCTCAGGCTTTGTCTTCTCTCTACCTCTGCCAGGACTTCATTTTTCCACGTTTCTTCAGACATTCAGGACTTTTGGCATGCCAGCTCCTCCCTGGCTGCAAGATTCTGGACAGGCTCATTTCTTCTACAGGAGGAGGAAAGGCACCAGCTGAGAGGAGCAGTGATGGGTGTGGTTCTCCTGCTGGGTGCTGCATCTCGGGTCCTGCCAGGCAGAGCAGCTGCCCCTGGCCATGGGGGACATCCAAGCAAAAGGTGTGGTAAAATCTGATTGAAGATATTAATAATGAATTACCAAAAAGTAACTAACGGTGCCTTTCACAGCTACAGGTAATGGCAGCTGAAGGCCAAGGATGTGTGGAAAAAGACTGACAAAAGTGGCTAGTAAGCCTGTGATTTTCTAATGTGGAATAAAAGTTGCAAATTTTGATCTTACATCTTTGTGGAGATTTTTTTTTTTTAAATGTTTTTAAATGTTTAAATTTTAAGCCATGAATTCCTGAATTGCATTAATTAAGCACCAGCATTTGGCAATAATGGCTTTTTCTAATGGGTCTAAACAGTGGAAACAACCAAGTGGAATAAAGTTGCTCCTGTAAACAGACAAAATCCAAATAGCATAGTCTGGATTTTGTAGGTTTTATCCTATGCCAAATAAATGTCTTCAGTCAAAAGCAATTGTTACCCCCAGAGGAATAGGTGGGGGAGCTGACGACTGATGTTGAGCCTTGTTTTTATGGATTTTGTAGATATCCACATTCCTGGAACCCTCCTGTCAGCTGTGGCCAGCATGGGAGTCATGTGGAGAAGCACCAAATTTTTACTCACCATGGGCATTAACTGCAGATCTCTTGGCTCTTAAAAGAGCTTAAGTGTTTTTGCTCTGTATGTGCCTGGTTGAACAGGCTTACAGCTCCTTTTCAGCAAAAGAGGAGAAAAAAATGCAGATGATACAACAGAGTGTGTGGAGAAAAAAAGATAGAAGCACAAAAGATTTTTTTTTTTTTTAGCTAGTGCATCAGCTAATGCAAGCTGTTACCTGATTTCCTTTCTATCAGAGAACTGTGTTGAAACTCTTAAAAATTTGCAGTTCAGGTGCTAGCTGCTTAAATAGTCTCATTTTGACTACTCAAACTCTGAAAATAAAAATTCTAAATATTTACTTTCTGTTTGACTTCTTACAATACAATAATAGTGCTGCTATTCAAATCTCTCACGAAGCCTCATGCAGAAATACTAAAGAATCATAGTTGCAAGATTCTTGTTCAAACAGGTGCTGAAGCTGAGCAAAACAGCTTTTCTGACTGCTCTGTGTGATATGCTATTTAAATTGCATTCAGCAGGATTGCTCTTTATATCACTTTTTGCATGGGATGCTTTATCAGTTTGCCTTTGAAAGTCTTTTTGTGCACCTTTTAAACACAAGAACAGTGGTTTTGTTTGTCTGACAATACCACAGTGTGAAAGTATGACTGCTTGTTTCAGCATAAATTGGGCAAAGTTTTTGGAGAAGACAGTTTGCCTGTTGCCTCACTGCAATTCTTCATGATTGTTGAAAGAAGGATAAATTTACAGCTCAGTCATGGGAGAAAGATGCCAGCTTTTTTTGCAGTTGTGATAGTACATAATCTGTATTCCTGCTCTGAATCTTGTGTCAGCCTTCATTGAGCTGGTCTGTCTTCATCAAGTATAGAGGCAAAGTCTGGCCCTCCCAGATGAGGCAGCTCTGTTAGGTGCATAAGGTTCATCAGTGGGAATACTTCATACACAGGCCTGTTTTCTGAACAAAACGTTGCTTTCTCCAAGAATCTTGAGGAGTTTTGAGTCTGGAATGGCTTTCCATATAGCTTTTTCCACTGGCCAGCTTTTTTTTGCCTAATGAACTAAAGACAGAAGTGCCAGTTTGACTTAAGCCCGTATTGCTTCCTTCAGATTCTCCTTCATTGAAGACAGACCCAAGCCAACTTGGATCCAGTGTCTTTCCTGTGTAGTATGAGTGATAAACCACATCTCAGTAGGCTTGCTTTCCTTTCACTGTGCAGAATCCCAGTAAATTAGCAAGGTGAGGAAGAAAATTTGTGTATCTGTCTTTGCTTCACACATATCCGTCGGATGGGCCTTGTCTCAGACAGTACCTGAAACTTACTTAAGAGTGAAGGCCATAATGTTTAGGGTTATTTTTTGAAAAACAGTATCACACAGTGATCAGAACAATTAGCAACTTTGAGACTCAAAATATAGTAAAATTAACTTCACTGCTTTGTTCAAAAGGCTTCATTTAGAGACTGGGAAGAAAATGTTTAAACTTTGATTTCATACCGTTAGAGATTTTCCACAATTTTGGAAGACAGGCTGCTTTTCACCCTCATTAATAGTTTTTTTAATTCTGTATTCTTTTGTCATAAGTTGAGTGATTACCCTCAAAAACAGTAAAACAAACACATAAGTCTCTCTTTCCTGAAGTTTTAACAGGCTGGACCCCCTGATTCTTTCAGCCTTCAGGATGACATCGCTTTTATTGTGACTAATATACTTTTCAGTGAGGAGAAATCAGTGACCTGTGTACCATGTAGCATCTCAGTGCTTGAAGGCTAAGCAGACTTTTGATATACTTGCAGAGAGGAGGTGCCAGGAAGGATATGCCCCACATGCAAAGCCTCAAAAATAAATCTGTTTACCTGTGACTCACTTTAGTTACTGTTCATGTCTCATGTTGAAGGGAAGTGTTGAAAGACAAAGTATATCTGAACTATAAAAAGCTTTTCTATCCAGAGCCTTAAACAACTAAGTATAACAATAATCTTACTCTGTGTTATGCTGTGTAGGTAAATCTTGGAGCTTAAGCACAAATTTCTGATACAGTCAGAAACAATCTCCTCTTGGCTGGGGAGCAGAGTGAGAGGGTATCCTTTCCACATAATTTTATGGCATCTGGCTCTTCGGGAAATAGTCTGTTCATATATGTGAGATATGGTTTGTATGTGGTCCTTGGTGACAGGCTGGCTCCCACTTAGAAAACTGGTCACTGATTATGAAGAATTAGGAGTCTATGAATAAGAAAATAGGCAAAAGGCCTGTGTTTCCTTAGACCAAGTGCTCATCTAGTTCAGCGTTCTTGTCTCTCTGCTCATGGTGATCATTGATGAAAGCATATGTATGCTATGCTTTCCAAATTCCATAAATCAGCAGTTTAGTATTCTTTTAGCCAGAGTTTGAATTACAGCCCATAACATCAGCTGTAAAACACAGCCCATTTAAATAAATGGATGTGTCTTCTGCATTATGTGATCACAGAGTGCTGAAATGCAGCACAGGTTCTGCCTCACAGAAAGATGGTTATGATAAGTAAACTTAAACTTTATCTCCTTTGCCACACCTGAGCTGAACAGGTTCAAAAGGAAGAGATCAGCTGTTTCACTACCAAAAAGGCAGTGGGATCTTGAAGTAACTCTTTTACACAGGAGATGCAGCACACTTCTTGCATGCAGTTAAGTGTTCAATAAAAGCAATAAAAGTGTCATACAGAATAATTAGTTTCAGGAGGATAAAAAAAGTTACTAAATGTTCTTTTACAAAGCACTGTTAATATATGTATTTCCAACTGTACATTTCATTGTACCCAAGAAATCACTCAGTCTTGACTTGAACTTCATGAACTTCATCACTCAGACTTGAACAGTCTTTTCCCATACATTTGGTATATTCATTCTTTTCCCCCATAACTTTCAGATAAATTAAAATATTAGCATTTTTATGGTGCTGAAATTTTGACTATTGCTATGTAACAATATATATAACAATATAACAATTGAACTATAACAATAACAATAATTCAAGAAGTATTGGATGCAAACTTAAAGGCATATCCATTGCTAAACATTGCTAGATATGTGTTAACAATTTAAACAAAAGAGACAAAATTGTGGCC